GCCTGGCTGGGAGCCCAGAGCAGTCTTTTGTAATCACAACATGATCTGGTGTGCTGAGCGGCGAGGCCGGCAGGGAGAGGCCGGCAGAGGCCCGGCTCCGGTGGCTCCTGCTTCCCTCTTGCTCTGGCTCCCCTGGGGCTGCTCTGGAATTTTCTCCGGTGCCCGCTGTTGCCATGCATTCGGCTGTGAGTGACACCTTGCCTTTGGTGGGGGGCTGGTTGGGGCTGGGGGGTTGTTGGGGTATCAGGCAGCCACACTCCCAGGGAAACAGGGGACAGCTGGGCCTGGGAGGAAGAGGGCTGTGACTAGGCAGGTGGAGGGCCAGGCAAGGGGCGGTGGCCACAGCAGAGACCCTGCAGGAGACTAGGAGGGACCCAAGATCTTAACACAGTTCACCCAGCAGCTCCGGCTGGGGCCGCCAATAGAGCTGGCTGTCTCCTGGCCCGGTTGCCAGCAGCTCACAGCCTGGAGAGGCTGGGCCTGTCTTCTCACAGGCTGGGTACCGACCTCGGAGCTGGGTCCAGAGCCTGAGAGCCCAGAACGGAGCCGGGGCCTCTCTTTCTTCTGGGGCTCTGGATCTGGGAGCCAAACAGCTCCTCCCTCGACCTCCAGAATCCCCTGGCAGCTTCCCAGTCACGGCAGGTTCTGCTGCCAGAGCCATTTATAACTCCCATTCCCATTCCGGGCTCTGCTCAGCACTGGGGCTCCCGGGGGAGCTGGGGGAGGGGCAGCCCATGCTGGGAGCTGTGGTCCTGGGATTAGGCCCCTCCTGAACCCCAGGAGACAGAGACCGGCAGGCAGGCCTAGCTGGCATGGGACCTTCGAGCCATCTCCCTGAGTAACCCCCTTCCTTCCAATGGGACCTCAACCGGGGGCCTGGGGTCTGTCCCTGGAGTGGGAAGAATAAGGATGGATGGGCGAATGTGAAAGGAACTGGTAAGAGGTGGGCCCAGCAGGCTGGAGCTTGATCTCCCTGCCCTTGCAGGAGCCTCACCGAGCCGAGTCCTCGATGAGCAGGCAGGAGGAGAAGGATGCAGAACTGGACCGGAGGATAGTGGCCCTGCGCAGGAAGAACGAAGCCTTACTGCGCAGGTACCAGGTGAGTGGCTGGGTGGAGGCTGGGAGCACCAACTTGACGGCCACTCTTTGGCTGATCCACAGAGATCTGCATGGTAGTTTCTCCCTGTGGGCTCAGGACCCTGTCTCTGGGCCTAGGGCCAGGACTGGGGTGGAGCATGGTCCCTCTCAGAGGCCAGGGTCTCGGGGACTTGTGATGTGGTGCCTCTGCCCCCTGGTGTCCCACTGGTGTCTCTCTGTGTAGGCCTGTCACCATCTGTGTCTCTGTGCGTCCAGGGGGCCCATCGCCTGTGCTGACTCCGGGCCCTCCCACAGGAGATCCAGGAAGACCGTCGGCAGGCGGAGCAGGGGGACATGGCTGTGACCACACCAGAGCTTCTCCGACCTGATGGTCTCACTGTCACCATCAGCCAGATCCCGGGTGTAAGCCTCCTCCCTGGAAGATAGGGCAGGGTGACAAGGAGGCGGAGGCCTAGCCATGTCAGGGAAGACAGCTCCCCTGCTCCTCTCTCCTCCCCCTTACCGTTCTGGGGTGTCCCTACCAGCTCCCAGCCCATGAAACCCAGGCTCCTCTGTCCCCTCTTCAAAGGGTCACAGTTGGAAGGCCACCCAGTAGAAGCCTCATACCTTATTCTGGCTGCATAGCTCCGCACCTGTGCTTCAAAGTCCTCTGCTCCTGACCCCAGGCTCCAGGCCCGAACACCCTACAGGAAGCAGGCGACAGAGAAGTTGAGCCGAATACCAGGATCAGAGTCTGAGGGACAAAGCCCCATTGTCCGAGTGCTCTGGGTTTCTCAGCTCCGAGATGACAGGCCACTATGGCATCTTGGGTCCCCGGGTGGCCCTGGGCCCTGGATAACTTCATGTCCTTGGCATGTGAACCCCCTGGGAGTCAGCCTCTCTGTAGGCATTCCAGAGAGGGCAGGGCTCGGACCTGGGCCTGGGGGGCACCCAGAGGACTGAGCACCTTATTCTGCAGGAGAAGCGGGTGGTCAGCAGGCACTGGGCAAGGAGCACCTTCGGACCCGGAGCTGCCAGAGAGATGCTTGAGGATGAGGTCACGGAGGACTGTGTGGGTACTTTCTGCCTGGGCGAGCGGGTGGAGCTGGCGGTGACCCTGGAAAATAAAGCCAAGGTGAGCAGGGAGGGCGGGGATGTCCCGGCAGGCGCCTCTTCTCTGTCTCTGCCATGCTGCCCAACTTCATCGTCCCTAGGCCAAACGGACCGTAAGTGAAAAGCCCACTAAAGCAAGGAACCCGGGGGCAGAGGGGCCACCTGGAGGGGGTTTGGGCCGGAGCGCCCCCAGACGAACAGCCGTCAGCTCGGATTCTGCACGGAAGGTACATCTTCAAGAGAGGATGGGGATAGGGATGTGGGGGTCGTCATTCGGAGGCGGCATAGAAGCTCGTGTGGGGCCATGGCCTAGGCAGCCCCTGTGGGAATGCCAGCCCTCTCCTTCCTTCCCCTGGCCAGTCTCTGCGGCGGGTGGGTTTTTCAGTGAGAGACTGACCCAGCTCCCTGCCTGATGGGTGCTGCTGGGGGCAAGAGGGTAAGAAGGGGCTAGGAGGGTGCAGGGACTGGCCCTGTGCCAGGCGTGGCCTCTAGATGGCAGCAGCCCCCAGTCCTTGTCCTTGCTTACAGCCTGGGTGCTCCTCCCACCCTGGGCCTGTCTCCCTATGGATAGGTGCTATTGTTACCGCCACCTTACAGACGAGAAAGTGGTGCTGCAAGGTTTGGCTATTTGCCCCAAACACAGCTAGCAAGTGGAGGGACCCGTACCCACAGAGAACAGCCTAATGTTCAGGCAGGGACATGGGACTCGAGAGAGGAAGTAGGGCCGGAGGCTCTCCAGCTCCCCACCCCGAGGCTCTCTCTCTGCTACGACCCCATGGTGCTGAGTGTCTTCCCCTTACAGAGTGTGCGGGAGCCCCGAAGTCCTGGTGTGGTCCCAGGCCCAGCTCCCCGATGGCCAGCGGGAGAGTCCCCCGAGGTGGGCTGGGACTATGTCCAGTGGAAGCAGGAGCGGGAGCAGATCGACCTGGCCCGCCTCACCCGGCACAGAGATGCACAGGGTGACTGGCGCCGCCCATGGGACCTGGACAAGGCCAAGCCCACGTGGGTGGCAGGGCCGGGTGGCTGGGTTGACGTGCTCGTGGGGCTGGGGCAGGGCTAACTGCGACACTGCCTAGCGGGCAGGCAGACCTTCCCTGGGATGGGGGCCCTCTAGCCAGGCCCTGGGCTCAGCGCTCTGTGTGGGCCCTGGGTCCCCCATCTTTCTTAGACCCACCATCTCCCTGCTGTCCTCAGTTCTCATGCTGGGGTTGAGGGAGGTGGTATCGGTATGGGACCTGCTGAAACCTCTGTCTCTGCCACCAGCAACCCGACTCCCTCCTCTGTCTACACAGGCTACAGGACTACAGCAAGCCGAGGGAAGAGGGCCCAGCCAGGGCAGGTGGCAGAAAGGGTGAGCCAGCATCCCCCTCGTCCTTCCCCCCCTCGACTTGTCCACCCCTTGGTGTCCTCTTTTCTCTGTCTCTCAGTCTTCTCCTAGTTTTCCGAGCAGAAAGCAAGCATTGGAAAGCGTTTTCCTTCTTCCCCTGCACTGTGGAGGAGGACACTGAGCCCTCGCCTGCAGTCCTCAGAGCCCACACGTTTGCTAGGGCTCTGACCCCGAAGGGCCTGGGAGAGGCCCAGTGAAGGCTGCCCCGGGGTCTTTGCAAGGTGCTGGTCCTTAATGGGTGAGAACCCTGATGATCTACACCAGAGACAGCTCTGTGGCTTTCCAGTCCCCTCAGTTCACATACGGGTCAGTCACCTAGGCAAACCAAGCACAGGGGCTGACTCTCCTGACCCCCTGGCCAGGGCTCTCCGGGGAGGCAGACAATCCACTACTGAGCTGAAGACCGACAGCTCCTGGTGCTGGAAGAACCAGTGTTCCTGCTTTGGTCCTTTGTCACCCCACCTTTGCTTATTTAGTGCTTTTGTGGCTTAGGTCCCAGGAGCCACCGGAAGCTGCAGCCCCCACCACTGCCCCCTGATGGGAAAGGTGAGCTGGGGGAGGACAGCAGGCAAGGTCCCATCGGCTGGGGGGGGGGGGGGGCGCCGCGGCGACCCTCTTCTCTCCCTCACTCTTGCAGGTCTGGGTGGGCATCCTGGCAGACCCTTGGTGGCACCGGCCACAGGCAGCAAAGCCCGTGGCAAGGAGAGACTGACTGGCAGGGCCCGAAGGTAACAAGTGGCAGGGGACAAATCCAGGTGTCCCAGATTTCCTGGGCCACCACAGGTCCAGGTGCCTGCTCTGTTGGGGAACCGGCCTCCTGGCCCAGTGCTGCCTGGCAGGAGGTTAATGAGATGCCGGGAGAGGCTGTCCGCAGAGGCAGTGGCAGCGGCAGCAGCAAGAGGCTGGTGCCCAGGGAGGCGAGGTAATTACAGCAGTCCTCTTCCCCAGGGGGTGAGTGCGCCTTTCCCAGGCAGCACAGGCAGGGACATGCCTGGAGTCCCCACAGAACTCGCATGCTGCAGGCCTGGCCATAAACAGCAGCTGGGGATCTGGGATGGGGGGGGACTTCAGTGGAAGTGGTTGGATTTGAGGAACAAGGTCAGTTGGGAGTGAAGCAATCCTGGAGCCTCGCCTGGCTCTGTGCTGTGAGACCCACGGGCTTTAGCTTCTTCCTGGGGCTACGGAGGGGTGATGCGGCGTGGGGTGGAGTGGGTGCAGGGCACCACTGTGTCACGTGCTGTTTCTGCAGGTGGGATGTCAAGGAAGACAAGGAGGAGCCCGAGCAACAGGAGGTGGGTACTTACTTGGACAGAGGATGAGCGGGCGCGGGGCTTGATCCCTGAACTCACCAAGCTGGCTGGGCTGCTCTCGTTTCAGGGAAGCCAGCCCAGAAGGAGTCCTGGTGTGGAGGAACATGTGCGGAAGCAGAGTGGGACAGAGCCCGGCAGATCTGGAAATACCCCGGCAACCAGCCCAGCTCCAACATCCCCAGAGGGGCCAGAGGGGCCAGAGGGGGAGTCAGAAACTTTGAAAGCCATTTTGGCCCCTAGCCCTCCACAGAAGACTGACCTAGCTCCCCTTGACCTCTCACTAGGAGGGGCTAGGAGTGCTGGGCCTGAGGAGAGTACCTGTGTGCTCAGTCCAAGGCCGGAAGTTCAGGAGAGCCCTGAGTCCTGGCCCGATGGTTCTGAGCAACCTCTAGGATGGAACGACCACCAGGCTGAGCTGAGAGTCCAGACTTGCTCTGAGCCACAGAGAGAAGCAGAGGCCTTAGAGCCCAGAGAGGACAGGCCTGGCAAGGCCGGGGCCCAGCAGGGGCTGGCACCAAGAAGCAGGCCCCCTAGAGGAACCAGCCAAAGGGCGAGAGGCACAGGAGGTGTGAGGAGCAGGACAGGGGGTCCTGGCCCTGCAGGAAGATGCTGAGCAAAGTCCCTGGGAGCTGGGCAGCGGGATGGGGAAGGAGGAAAAGACTCGGAGTCTTCTGTGTGATGGGTGTCTGGTAGCCGACGCCTCGTGCCAGTCTGGCTGGGCAGAGTAGAAACTCTTGGCAGGGTGACCACGTGAGGGCAAGCTGCCTTCCTCCCTGGGGTCATGTGGGTTTTCACGTGCAGCACAGTTTCTGTGCAGGGACCTTGTGTGCCCTGCCCTGGGCCTACTGTCGCCCAGGCCACAGCATTCTCCACTGTGGCAAGCGAGCAAGGTTTGGTAGCGCCCAGCAGCTGGCTCTTCCTGTTCCCTATTGGTCTGCAGGGCCGGATCTCCCACTTGGGTCTAGGCAGCTTCAAAGCTAGCGTGACCAGCCAGGCCTGGGCCCTCCCCCTTGCCTACCTTGCACCAGGGGAATTTCAGTAGCCACCTGCCAACCTCCTGCCCCTCCTGAAGAGAAGGCTGAGGCCCAGGGATGGGGGCGGCCACACAGCTGGCAGGGCCCGGGGCTGAACAGAGGAGGAGAGCTCAGGTCTTCTCTGAAAAGGAGGGTCCCTGGAAAGACTTCCCCCTCTCTGAAGTGGGGTGGGGTGGGGAGGGGACCGCTTCCTCTTTCCACAGCAGCGCAGGAGCACTGGCTACCAGGCGCTCCTCCCCCACTCCCAGGTCAGACGTCACTGCACCCTGAAGGGAGGCCAGGGCCTGGCCCTGCAGCCCGGGGTCATTTCCTGCCCTCTCCTACTTCCTCTCCCCAGCCCCTCCCTGCACCAGGGCTGTGCAAAAGCAAGGATTCAGACAGGCTCTCAAGAGACGCTAAGAACGACATCAGGACTTGTCTTTCCTCCTTAATCTCCATTCCTGCCCCCCTCCCCGAGGCCCACGGCTGGTAAATTATCCAGACTCTGCACAAGCTGTAGCTTCCTCTCAATTCAACAAACATTTCCTGAGCACCCACTACCAGTAATCCAGCCGGTGGGCGACGGCGACTTGCCAGCAGGAGGGAGAGGAGCTCAGCCAGCACTTCCAGCGGGGCTGCTCTTGGCTGGCAGGCTGGGAGGGTGGTGGCAGGAGTCCAGAGGCAACCATCCACCTCTGCTCGCCAGAGGCAAGTGTCACCACCTCTCCACCCCCCCACCCCCTACCTGTCTTTGGCTCCCAAGCCCTTGCCTGGATCTCACCACCTGGCCCTTCCTGCTCCTCTCTCCTGAGGATCAGGGGGCTCACGTGCCCCTCTGAGGCCCTAGGGAGAGTCCAGACCACCCTCAGGATTTCTCCCCTGTCCAACTGAGGCCTAAACTGTGGGGTCTAGCTCGACCATCCTCCGGGCACTCAGCGCCCACACCTCTGTACTCAGGAAGCTGAGGAGAGGGATATCCTCACAGATCAGACTGTAGGAGCTATAACGTACTCTGGCACTCCCATGTGAGGAGGCCTAGAGGGGGCCTGAGAGTCTGCATTTCTAGCAGGCTCCAGGAGATGCCTGTGCTGCTGGGCCCTGGGCTACACGCCGAGTCCTAGGGATTTGGACTCAAATATACGGAGGGCTAGGGCAAAGACGGACTCTGGATTCTTAGGGCAGGTTTCTAGCTATGCAGGGGACTGGGGGAGAGCTACCCCTGTCAGGTGGTAGGGGGCTTTTTTTATTTTTTTTTTTTGAGAGAGGTTTTTGGTATAGGGCACATGTACTTGCCAGAAAGACAGAGAGAGACAGAGAAATAAAAAGAGAGAAATCACCTCCGAGGGGGGATGGCCAGGCTGCAATCCTTTCTCCTTTATTCTCCTCTCGGGATCTTGGGCATGCACATACACATGCCTGTATTTCCCCATGGCATGAGTCTAAGCCACCAGGTCCAGGACTTGAACCATGTCAACTATGTGGGAGTCCAGCAATATAACCATTACGCTATCTGCTGGTCCTGCAGGGGGTTTTCTGGCCTCAGAATTGGGTGGGAAGCTGAGGCTCCTGGGGAAGATGCTTTCAAGGGCAGGGAGTGGGTGGTGTGGACTTTCTGTGGTGAGCAGTGAGAAAGCTGGTCAGGAATGGGACGGGGTGCAGGGGTGGAGGAGGCTGGTGTGGGGCTGAGCAGAGCAATTGCAGAGGGGCTCGGAAACATTCCTATGCTCGTGAGATGCCTTGCCAGGGTGGAGACGCCAAGCTCAAGCTTTCCTCCGGACCTGGTCACAAGTGTGTGGCTTTGAGTGCATGGGCCCTACAACCTGTGACTCCTGACGGGGCTGAGGTGGAGCAGCTGTGAGTGCAGCGCTGAATTTAGATGTTTCCCCAAATGACTGTGATCAAGACTTTGAATTCTGAGACGCACAATCTGCTCCCAACTCCCCAGCGCTGCCAACTGTACCAATGCGCCTTCTCTGGAGGGTAGATGCCACAGCATGTTTGACCGTGGGGTAGGGTAGAGATCAGGCTGACTCTGGACTAGCCCTCACAACAGGACCTAGGCACGAAGGAAAGCTGGGCAGAAGGGCTATGCAGAGGGACAGGGCTTCTCTCTGTGGGGCAACATCTAGGACGTCAGGAGGATGGGTGTCACAGGAGTCACTGGGGTTGGCATGGACATCGTCATTGCAGGTTTACAGTGCGGGCGAGTAACACTGAGCTTTTCTCAGAAAAGGAGAGTTCTTTGAGATAAGGGAAGTGACAGCTGTGGAGGCCATCCACTATCCATCCAGACATGGCCACCCCTGCCGCTCTAGGAGGGAAGCCCAGTAAGACTCCCTCCACAGATCCGGTGGCACGGAAAGCCTGGAGGGTCTCCCGGCTCCTGTGTGTAAATGCCTGTCTGGGAGCCTTCGTCTTGGAAGCTCTTCTCTCTGACTGACAGACAAGACTACTCTTCAAAGGTGGACGATTCCATTCCACAGGGCCACTGGGATCCCAGCACAGGCCGGAGGAACCGAGAAAGGAAGACACACTGAAGTGAGCCGCTGGTAGGGAGATGATAGTTGTGCCCAAGACTTCGAGACAAAGAGGGCAGAAGAGGCAGGTCCAGGCCCATCTCACCTCGGCCGAAAGAAAACGCAGGAGACCAGATTGCAAGAGTCATGTGTCTAGACGGCAGGCCGCACAGGACAGTGGACCAAGCACAGGCCTTGGAACCCAACAGACTGAACCTGAACCAGGTCTCTCCCCTGGCAGTGGGTGACCTTGGTCAATTTTAACCTGGAAAGCCTCAGTCCCCTTTTCTGCAGTTATCCCTACTGTGAAGAGTTATGGTGATAATTAAAGATAAGAGTATGCAAAATAGACCTGGCACGCAGTAGACACTAGTAACAGTAACCTGGCGCATAGAAGGCCAGTTGGTGTTCCCGGAATAAATGAAGTAGCTATTTGGAGTGAGCGCTGTCTACTTCGCTTTCTTTCTCCTTTACCTTCTCTTCTAGGCTCATCTTCACTAGGAGTTGAGACACTCCCAAGGAAATAAATAATGGTTTGTAAAGTTACCCAGCCCTGGAAGCGCAGTCAGCCTCTTTTAACCTCCCTGGGTGGTCTAGAGGAGTTAAAGACCTCAGAAGTGAAGCGATCTTTTTTATTTTTTTATAGGGTACAGAGACACGAGAGAGGGAAAGCGAAAAATCACCCCTGGGGGGATAGCCATGCTGCAATCCCTTCTCCTCCATTCTCCTTGGGACTTTGGACACACACATGTGCCCAGCGTGACTCCCAAGCCACTGAGACTTAAACTTTCATCGGCCATGTGAGCTGTCCAACACCGTAACCACTATGCAACCTGCTGCATTCTCACGAACTCACAAGCCTTTTTTTATTTCTGTATTACCTCCCCAAACAAATCCCATTGTGAAATTTATTCCACACCTCCCAGAGTTAAGGAGAAAGGTGGGAGTTAAGGCGCTGGACCCCAGATGTTTGATGGCAATTTGAGTCCCAGACCCGGAAGCTTGAAACTCATTCCTGGTGCATGGTGCATGCTTAAAATCTGAAGAGAGGGACCAGCAGGTGGCATAGTGGCTAAGGCGCTGGACACTCCCACATGGCCGTCCACGGTTTGAGTTCCGGACATGGTGGCTTGCTTTCTCACTTTCTCTCTCTCTCTGTTTCTCTCTGGTCAAATCAAAATAAATGAATAAATAAATAAAATTAAATAAATAATTTTTAAAATATCCGAAGAGAAGCATGGAGAAGGGATTGCAGCATGGCCATCCCTGCAGGGGGGGTGGTGGGGTGATTTCTCACTTTCTCTTTCTCTGTCTCTGTGTCTCCTATGATCGCATGCGCCCTACGGCAAAAGAAAATTATTAAAGAAAAAAAAAAAAGGAGCAACCCGACTTTATTTTTCACAGTCAAAAGATAAGTGGTTGGGGAAAGCAGAGGGCCCCAGCTATCTGACAGGGCACACATTTGGAAGGTTTGACCACAGTCAACTCTAGCCCTAACTCTGGCTGTAGAGACCGGAATAACAGGAAGAGACAGCACTAGCCCCAAAAAAGAACAAAGGAAATGGCAAAAATCCCCATATGCCCATATCTTTTTATTTGGGGGACTAAATAGGGAAAGGTCAAGGAAATAGGAGAAACTGAAGACACAATTTCTTCTGTCTCTTGAGTCATTTATCAGTGTCCACAGACCCCACGAACATCTCATCCTGAGCAAGGTCACTGGAGTTTACAAGAAAGGGCTGACTCAGGGTGACCACAGCCTAGAGGAAGGGCAGAACTCAGGGTGGGGAAGGGGAGTGAGAGGAGGCAGAAGTGCAGACGGGGCTGCTGCCTCTCAGCAAGTCTGCTGGGCCTGCGTCACAGCCTCTCATTAAGCATCCACTTGACGCAGGGAAGTGAAATAGCACAGGCCTGGCACCAGCAAGAACAAATGTGGCACCCACTGCTCCTTTTAAGGACTGGCCCGAGAAGCAGCAGGCCCCCGGGCAGGAGGTGAGGCAAACACATCAGTACCTTTGTAGGAGGAGGAAGGGGGACTCCTTCAGGCCTGTCTGCCTCCTTAACAAGCAATCCAGGGCAAGTTCTCCTGCAACTGTCAGAAATAATGGATGTTTTCAGCTCCTTTCCCTTTTCTTACACACTCTGGGACACAGTATTTCCTTTTCCTCCAGCAGGGCAGTTGGTTTCAACCAAGAAAAAGGGTCAAAAGTCACCTTGATAGCCATTTGTTTAAACAGAAATGCCCTTAGCTACAGAATCAGAGAAAAGGGGTGGGCCAGTGGTTCTCACTTTCGTGTGCGTCAGAACCACCTGGAAGTCTGGCTGCAATGGAACGTGAGGCCCACTTTCTGGATCACTCATGCAGTCGTTCTGGGATGGGACCTAAGGGATCTTGTTCTATAGTTCTAACAAATGCCCAGGTGACTTGCAGTCGTGCCCACCAGAGCTATCCTTCGTTAAACTGCTCTGTTGTCTTAACTTCAGTAATCAA